TGCCTAAATCTCATATCAGATCATGTGACCATCCCCAGGGAATGCACGTAGAATATATCGACAATGGGGGGACGCTGAGCAATGCCCGACAGCCAAAGGGAAGAACAGCGACCAATGGGAGTATGCTCAGTGTGCCGTAGCAGAGAAGAATACTCTAAGAACAGACTATAAAATTTAAACTTAGAAGACTGGAATACATACTATTTCGAATAGTTCTTCCTGGTGGACTTTTAAAATTGAGCCGCAATTTTGTCGGCTCGCTATCTGCGTGTAGATTTTCTTATAGGTACGTCAGTTGGCTTGGTTTGCTCATTGCTAATGTTTTAAACACTGCTTGGTTTATTGAAATGTTTTTTTTTTCGGAAGAAATTTGAACCGGGCGAAGATCACGAGATAAGCAGAATTTATTGAAGTCATATAAGTTTGCGACCTCTTATTCAACCGCAAACGGTCATTGCCTCCTAATAAGATAAATTAACTGTCCAATTAAGTGTCGACCTAGGAGGGTAAAATTTGATGGGTAAAGATAGTAGAAGGTATTAGTCTTAGATTGCAATTTGAAATTTAAGTTAATAGGTCGCCGAATTATATGACGCCACTAAATTCTGCTAATCTCATGATCTTCGCCTTCTGCAAACTGCTTGATTTATTCGAAGTACAATAAGAAGGCCATCCGTTCACTGGGCTAGCACCGTTTTAAAAGAAGAAAAATGAAAAGTTAATTTTGCGGCTCATTTGCTAACGACTGTTCTTGGTATCGACAGTCCATTCTTCGGCGCTTGTGCACAGTTTGTGATCTTGCGGTGTAACTAGATTTGAATACCCGATTTTACTCACAGCGAATAGAGGCCCTGCTGGTGACCACTTTGTAAGTATAATAACCAGATAGTGCGCGTCTCTATCTCTATTGCATCTTCCAGATGCTCTAGAATAGTGCCGGCAGGTCGCATAATGTCTAGGTGCCATTTTTACGTCAGTACGGAGGTACGTCATTTTGACTCGAGTACATGCCCGATAATTACAACAATGAGCACGATAT